AAAACTCAATAAAAACTTCATTTCATATGTATTAATGTGAGATTACATGCTCATTTCAATTGTAATTTTATACCCAAATTTTAAGGGAATTTAAGGGAAGGGAAAGGGATTCCCGACACGTAAGCCGGGAAGGGAAAGGGAATCCCTTCAAGCAAAAATTAAGGGAAAGGGAATGAAAATCAGGGGTAAGTTTGACCTGTACTGTACAGTATAACAGTATAATGAAATTTTGGTCACAAAATTGTTTTCTTTTATGTAAAATTATAGAAAATATCTTTTATGTAAAATTATAGAAAATATCTTTTATGTAAATACTGTATTACAAAACGATTATACTATACAACAATGATTTGGTGCAGTAATAGGTGTAAGTTTACACATTACTCAATTGTGTCAAACAAAATGATATTAAATATAGACTGCTTTACGAAAGATAAGTTTAATAGTGTACATCCCTAACCTATAACTACCTGTTTATGCAATAGTTTTTCTCAATACCTGTAACTTATATGAATAAAGAGATATCGTTTGAAATTAAGCAAAAATAAAATAAAATGTATTTCATAAAATCAATTGACAAAACAATTGTAAACAAACGCTTCTTTTTGGTAAAACAAACTCAAAAATTAATTAATTTTGAGTTAAATGTCATTTGAAATTAGATAATTTAATTTTAATGAAATCTTTTTATTCTAAAAAATATTTATGAATTTCGTGGAAAGTTTGAGTACAACTATTATAAACCGCTAACAAAGCACTTTTGACACAAATTTTGATTTATCTTCAAAACATTTGTTGAATAAAAGTCAAAAATTGTTGATAGAATTGATATATTGATTAAATTACTATAATATTGTAACAAATTACAGTAATTGATTTGTAATTCATATGAAATATTCATTGAGTCAATGATTGTTTAAATAGCTTATTGTATAATATTTATCAAATGTTTATTAAAAATCATTATTTAACAAAAAAATATTTTCATTTTATTAATTTGAAAAATAAGTCAAACAAAGTGTTATTAATTTATTTGTTTGGTTTATTTTGGTACAAAGTCTATTTAAATAGGAAACTATTGGCAATTTTTATTTTAAATACTGTGTCTATATACCCTTTAATATACAAATCATCACAAAAAATTTTAAAATAGTAAATTTTTGATTCTAGAGTAATTAATTCTAGAGATTTAATGTACTGTAGAATAGTTTAACTTATTATAATATAATCTGTTGTAGACTTTAGAATATAAAGTAAATGAAAATATATGTCAATTGAGACAAATGAGAATTCACAATATGACACAAACCTTGCCCTCTAACCCTTCAATCAATTATAGTTTAACTGTAATACTACACATGCATTGGTAAATTAAATAAAGTTTATGTTGTAAACAATTAAAGTAAGTTGACAGTAACTATAACATAGAGAATTATCCAAACAAACATTCAATAAATGTATATTCTACAGTGTTCAAATTATCAAATATAGCACTAAACATTTATTATTGGTATAAAAATACAGTACTGTATGTATAACTTTGGAAGTTAATTGCCTCGATAGACCTGTCCATCGACCTCCATATCCCTCAACTAAAATGTTAATAAAATGCAAACCAAAGGATCGATAGATTTTTAAAATTCCTAAACCGACTGAATATAAGTCAAAGTAATATAAGCTTTCTATTCGTATAAGACATTGATTGCATTCTGTCTGTGGAAAGGGAGGGATTGTGTGGAGAAAGTTTAAAAACCTGTATTCGGGGTCATTATTACGAAAGTGATTATGCTTTCATATAAATGTTAAACCTTTCAAATACTATTTGATTGACAAATGCTTGCATATTGAGTGAAAATGTTGAGCTATAAAGGCGTGAATGGCTCGTGAAATGGTCGGACACTTACTTTATTGAGTTCGGGATGTATAGTGGTCTGGACGCCATGCAACTCATCCAAAGTGGGTCGAGTCATATGCCGGTGCACTGACAGTATGTTTCTGTAATTGTCTACTCGTGGAAGTGCTTCTCGAGTATAGTGTCGCAAACTCTTCACGTTTTTGGTGTCATAATAGGTGTTGCTGTAATCAAAGGACATGTGGTGTCCGATTGTGGGCATACCATGAATGGTATCCGAGCTGTTTGAGAGGCTATCGTCACAATGTGTTTGGTTTTGGGCGACATTAGGATCGGACACAATCTCGACCTGAAAACGGGACCCGTTTTGGCCCTCATTTGTCACGTTCTCAACGGATTCACTCTTCGGCACACAATTACCACTCATTTCCAGCACAACTCGACTCGTCTTCGGAGTCTAAAGAATTTGTTTGAAAAGTTGTGAATAAAAAGTGATTTTCATGTCAGACTGGGAGGCAGTGCTTTCCTCCTGATTTGAATGCCTATTGTTCCCGACGTTTGAGACGAAAAGGTAGTAAAGATAGGTTAGTTTACCTGGTGGCTAAGTATTTGTCCATAACGAAATATCTAGACATGTGGTTAGTGTGGTTTGACTATACCTATTCATACACATCATATATACCATCATTTAATCAACATATCACATATGACCAGTGTACTCTACATCACTGTCAATGTCAGTTAATATCATAATATCATAATATCATAATATCATGGTTAGTTCATTAAATGATGCTAAATATGATGACAATCTTATGGTATATTCCTGTCAAACATAAACTAAGGGATCGTTTAACAGATCGGGACTATTGGGCAATGTGATCCTAAACCCTAAACCTTAATAAGTAAATGACACTTGATTTGATCCCAGTTTATACCCGGCTAACTGTGAATACAACTAATGAACAGCACATTTGACGAATAACTGTAAGTCACTGTCAATGACTTCATACACATCAATGCAATCGTATTATAGACTCGTTTGAAACATACATTTGCTTTGAATGTGAGCCACCTTGTGAATCACCTACCGTATCACCAAACACATTTATCTTACATGTTTGTTGCATGTGATTTTCCATAAGTAGAAAAATGAGTTAGGTCAAACAAATGAGTTGAACCAATTGCCAGTACATCTAACTGTTCACTGATTATGACGATAATGACGTTATTTACTACACGTTGTGTTTGTATTGAACTTTGATTTCATTGCAATTGAAAGCATTTTTGTAAACATTTTGCAGTCAATTGTCTTCACGTTTGCAATGATTTCGTCATTTAATCCTTAAATGGCTTTCATTTGCGGATCAATTCATTTGCTCCTCAAAAGTCATCTCAAACTCGCGGTCACCACAAGACTGTCAGCCATCGGCTTATCTCAATGGACTCCACAATATGCGGAATATTTAATCCTTAAATGGCTTTCATTTGCGGATCAATTCATTTGCTCCTCAAAAGTCATCTCAAACTCGCGGTCACCACAAGACTGTCAGCCATCGGCTTATCTCAATGGACTCCACAATATGCGGAACCGGTGTTGGATTGGATGGATGGGGACAGCGATGGCGAGGGACAGAGTGGACAGCCGTCTGACGGGTTGAGTGAACTGTCTTTCCGTCCGATCAAAGCCCGTCAGTCTTCGCACTCGTGTTCACTCTTTTTCGACGATTTGCTCAATCGGTTCATAAGTAAAGCACATCTGAAGGGACAGAAGGCGATGATGAGAGACCTCATGAGAGACACGTTTGGTGTCATGAAAAGCATTCAATTGCAGAAATACAACGCCGCCGATGACGCCAACAAAGAGCACATCCAATGCGATCCACTCGTTATCTTCCATACGGCGCTCGCCAACTGTCGCCCCCTTATCATCACCCGACCCATCAAGAGAGGCGGCGCCACTTATCAGGTGCCCTACCCTTTGAGGCTCAAGGAGTCCGAAGAGATGGCTATGCGTTGGATCATACATGCCGTCAGAGACCGACCCAAACCTAAGAAGACATTCTTCCCCGACGTGATGGCTAAAGAGCTGATCGACGCCTACTATAACGAGGGAAAGGTAGTCAAAAAGAAACAGGACATCCATCGCGTCTGTGAAGCCAACCGAGCGTACGCTCACTACCGGTGGGGGTAACCACTCGTTCATCACTTGCTATTAATAGCTATTTATGTATCAAGTCTTCGACACATTGTTTAATTGACTATTAGTTTTCATTTGTTGTTAAATATATGAATAAATTGCAATCATTTTATTACACAAATTTACTCAATATTTAAATAAATTTTAATTTAAAAAGCTGACTTAACATTATTGTGATTATTATTTTATAATTACGGTCTATTGGTTTTGAGGGCAATATAATAATAGTAATTTATAAGCAAGGTATTTATAACACCTTTATTCATTAGATAGTTTAGAATCTAAACTTTAGATACTGTATAATAAGAATCTAATTTCCAATTGTTAGAAATACTGTAAGCTTACAGTCAATTAGAATATTATATCACTACACATAGGCTTAAAATATGGGTTTGCAATTAGGCATCATCACCATGGTCATTTACCATCATTTAATCAATACAATAGAATATAAGTTTTTAAAACTAAAGGTAATTTTATAATGTACCTGGTAAACTCTACCGTATGCCTCTACCGTTACGATATAGCCTTACAGTTTGATTCAAGTATAAAAGTAAATGTTTTACTGTAAGGGTACACCTCTCACAAAAGGGCCCAAATCTATGCTCAACTCATACTTGCATTTTAGACTATTATCATATTATCATTTAATATCATATGTCAGTTATATGTCAGTACCGTAATAACGTGCTTGCTCATTATAGTGATTACAAGTATAGTGCTAACATTGATCAATTTTAGGGTATATTTGATTGATTCATATTGAACTCAATTCATATAACTATTAAATCTCATCAACTATTCAAATATATGGTGTCTTGTGGTGAGTGTTGACAACAACTGGTGACCACTGTTTCCATTCAAACGATGGCCCAATCAGGTGCTGACCAATCAATTCACGGATTGTTAGTAATTAATGGTCACAATTACCATCACTTCATCCAAAGTGAGTCCCATATCAATGACCACTTCATTACATGTCTTATATGTCTATCAATTCTTGCATTTATTACTAAATAAACAGATATTTTCAAACATTTTAACCACACTTCAGACGAAGAATTAAAGCCTAAGACATTAGATTTGGGAACCAATGAAGACATTGATTCTTATGACTTAACCATTGATAATAAGTACTATTCCGCAGAAATATATTTATTTGACTTAAAAGACAAACAAATAATTTCTAAGCGTTTGACTGATTGTGTCGAAGGAGTTATCATTTACTTTGATTTGGATTTGAATGAAGTACTCATTTTGTGGTCATATTTATTAAATGAATAATTAATTGATTGTATTCATTGTAAACAGGAGTCCAGTGCAGCTGGTCTCGAGTCGTGGAAGACATTCACCGATCAGTTTAATAATGAGATTAAACTATTGGTTTGCGATCAAATCGATTGCATTCCTCGTAAGTGTTGGTTAAGAAAATAATGCACAATATGTTTATTAAATTTTCATTCATTTGATTCAATGATAGCCGAGAAAAGTGAGACATTAATGAAGTGGTGTTTAGACAATGAGTTTGAATTGGTAGAGCTCTGTCCTCGAGATGTCTCCCATGAAGACGACGACGAAGTAGAGGACCCGTTCCAAGAAGACGGCGATGGGTTCACTCGCATATCACAAGCTATTCAGGCCTATAACTGGCCCAACAGTTCCCTCAAAGGTTTGTCTCATTATTTTAGACATCAAATACACTCAAATGTCAATCAAATGTCAATCTCTATTCCTGCAGACTCTCCACAGTATAATCCTTCGCCAAAATTTAAGGACCTATTAGACAAAGAAGTCTTTGGAAGTATTGGAGACACAAACGAAGTGAAAGAGACAGACAATGAATTAGAAGATTTCGAGCATTTATTTGAGAAATTTAATCAAATGAAATGTATTTATCATTTGGACGACAATGTCATTCATTATTACATTATTGTTATTATTTACCGAATATATAGTGAAATCTTCGCAAATGAATGAAACCGATAGACGACATTATGCCGAAGAAGTGACACTCGCTTTCTGGAGAGCCATCGGTGGTGACGAACAAGAAATTGAAGGCTTGGACTCAACTCTCCAATGAATAACACATTAAATCATTTAATGACTATTTGTATGATACAGTAATTGTAAAATGTTTTTGTATTATAAATATTTAACATAAATGTTTAATCACTTGAATTGATCTCTCGAAGAATCTGTTCTTCACTCATGTCTTCGTCATCTAAATTCGTATTCACTTCTTGTGTTTCTATGCCATTATTCATCTGTTCATTGGATTCGTTTGTTTGTTCACTCATTTGGGAATTGGTGTCAATTGTCTTGAGTTGTGATCCATTGAACCCAATCAACAAATCCTGGTCGATGTCGATGTCGCCATCGAAGTCAGAGTCCATTGCTTCCGTCTCTCGTGTCTTCTTTCCCTCATTTGTATTCATATTCACAAAACTGTTGGCAATAATCTCATCGAAATCCTTGACTTGGTTTGCATTGTCCTCGTCATCGGACTCGTTGTCAACGACCACATCGTCTGAACCGAAATACAAGGGCTCATCGGTTCTCATTTTGAAGATAAAGTTCTTGAGGGCCTTCTTAGACCCCAATTGTTCGCACTTCTCGATGAAGTCATCGAAAGTAAGGCTCGGATAGAGTCGATGCGACCAATGACTCAACCGAAACATCACTTCATTCAAGTCCTTCAGTTCAGAGCCCTTTCCTCTCAATCGGATGTCTTTGAAGATATGAGTCAAGAGAGCGATGCCTTCTTTGGTCATCAGTTTGTCGGCATTTAGTTTGGGTTTAGGTTTGGACGCAATTCTCCGCACTTTCGCCACCACTTTAGTCCCATTGTCTTCGTTAGTTGAATAAGTGTCCACATCTTCACGCTCTTGGCCTGTCTTGTCAACTGAATGGTCGCCGGAGTTATCATCAATTAATGGTCTCTTCACGCGTTTCCCTTCAATGGCTTCATCGGTGTCTTTGTTGGACTTCTTGTGTCTGTAATCACGACGTGAAGTGTGTTGTGGTTCGTCCTCATCGTCATCACTGTCTGAACGGGTGGAGTGTCGATGGCGTCGGTCTAAGTGGTGGTTATATTCCTCGACATCCCTTCCCTCGAGAATCCTCTGCAACTCGTCCTCCTCTTCGTCTTCATGTCCACTCATATCTCAAATACAATCAAAACGTTTCAATCAAATGACAAAACACTGCAAACCAGTGATCAGTGTTTGGCGCCAAACATATTATGCTTACGACTCGTAGGCCTCACAGAGACATCTGTTGCCCTCTCATTGCACACATCGTACAGAATATTCTTGACATTCATTTAATGCTCTTTTATATATTAATACAATAATTGTATTCAATGTATAATTGTTTTACAATTCTTATTACAATATTCATTATATTTTAATATAAACTTTTAATTGTACAATATATTAAATTAGTTAATCAATCAAAAAGTAATGTATATTAGACTTTATAACAGTATAATTACTTAATTCATGTGTTTTATAGCTTATTAAATAAGTGCAAGTGTTCATTTTATGACTGCATATTAACGTAATGCATACTAACTTGTAAATATATTAATTTTTAATTATTTTATTAGACTAATATTATATATTAGTTCATATTTTAATATAAATTGTGGTTTTATAATATAAAATTCGTTTTGACATATGATAATTTCAAATAACCAACTTATATGAAAATTGAAAATAATTGTGAGAAATCTTTTTATCTAAACTTTATGTCAAAATGATAATTATTTATATATTTATAAAAAAAACTGGAATTTAATGAAATCTAAATAAGTGTTTGATTTAATTTGCAACTCATCGCTACTGTGTATATGTGACAAAAATAATTAGTGCTGAAAATGATTACAGTACTTGTAAACCATTACACCGACAGCCTTACGGTGTATTTACTGTATGTTAGATGTTAACTACTGGTAATCAAATTGGGTGGTCGGTCGGAATGGTAGTACCGATTAGTTTGTTTTATGAATTAACTTACGTTACTCGACAAATGATGTTAGTTGTTAGCCAATAAATATATGGTTAAGCAAGCGATCAATAAATATCAATTATTTTTATTAAATTAAAGTCAGTTTTAAACATTTAAAGCTCATATCAATGCACAATTGCCTTGATTTAAACCATAATCGCTAACAAAATATATAATAACTAAATTGATGGTTGTCAAAACATGTTTTTTGTAATTAACGGAATGGCAATCATATATTAAATGTTCAAAATATTAATTGTATTTAAATTTGTTTCCATTTTGTTGAATATTGATTTAAATTACATTCATTTATGTCTGACTAATGATAGAAAATATAAAAAATAAGTGTTGAGTCAAAAAGTATGTAATCGGAGTTCAAGGTATATATAATCGATGAGATATTAGATATAAATTTATTTGATTTACTGTTGGATACAAATCAGTGAAGGGAACCAATGTTTCAAAACCGTCGGGTATTGTCAGCAATGCTATCAAACAAAATATGGGATAATTTAGAAATGACTCCAAAGTGGAACCAATAGAGTAGAGGATTAAGAGTTAGTGTTAGTGTTAGTAGTATTACTCGAATCCATCGGAAGATTAAGTGATTTCTTGTTTCTCACATTCAGAACAACAAAATCACTAGTCTTCCAGACAGACACGAGTCCATGTGCTGTAGACCATCACCACTAACAGTTCCATATCATCACTTCAATTATCAAAGCCAACCTCTTGTGGATCATAGAGCAGGCCATTCGGACCTGATGTGCGTTGCCCTTCACTGTGATCATCCTCTCATTGCCCGGACCAACAGCGCTATCAATAGCTATATCAGCGCCAGAGTCCCGGCGCACAAGTCTTATCCGATTTCCGCCCTTTCCTATGATAGCACCGGCGACCTAACGGACAATATTAAGAAAAACTAATTCTTTAAAGAGTAACAAATGATTCGTACATTATTTGGAACACTAATAGTAGCCGAAGCGGATCCGTCAGAATTCTCCACCAAATTGGAGACCTCTTCACCAGAATTTTGGCCAAAATTTGCTTCATTATTAGCAGCGGAATAAGCGCTGGTCCAGGAACTTGGTGAATGAATGGGAGCGCCTGCAGTGATACTATCGTTTGGTATCACATCAGACCAATAGGGCGTCTCTGCGCCCGATTGGGGCGATTGTGTGGGCGGCGGAACTGACCGGGGATTATCTGTTCATACAATAGCTACACATATAAGCACTTCATTTACAACAAAACAATGCATTCTTTACCCGATGGAAGCCAACGACTCGAATACATCTGATTGTGTGGACGTCTATCTGCCGGTCCATTAAAAGGCATTCGTGAGACCCATGCATCGGGAACAGGAGGGAGGGGTGGCGGCTCTTGTTGCCAACCACCACCTCGCCTGTCATTCATCCGTCCCATGCGAACACCGGTCCCTCTACCGTATGGCATATTAGGACCCCGACCACGAAAACTAGTGGGCGAGGGGTCGGTATATCCCCCATATTCAGGGGCGCCGTAAACATCGAAATTGTAGGGATCGTATAGTTTGACGGGTCCTTTGATTGGCGACGAAAGTATTATGTCTAACACTATTTTAATAGCAGATATGACAACAGTGGGCCCCCCCTGTACTGCACATATGCGCTCTGTTGACATCGGACAGCACTGGGAAAACACTTTAATCGCTGCCTTTGTTTGCTTTATTAACAGTTCCCACAAATTTATTAATAAAATATACAGAAAACCAATAGTTAGTGCTTACATCTCTTAAATCCCTGATCCTTTGGCCTCCCTTTCCAATGATACCCCCGGCGTGTGAAGTGTGGATCAGAAGACGCAACTCTACGTCCCGTTCTGTTGTGTTGTTATTATTGGAGCGCTATATTGAGTTAGGATTAGGATTACAATTAAAACAATCAAATCAAACGGCGGTTACAATGAATACATACGTCATCGATATATCCGATGACATCTGTGAGTATATCTCCAAGAGTTTCGATACTCGAGACGATCGACAAAACCCTAGAATGAAAGGACACATGAAATACACGGATAGGAAAGGAGATCATTGGCCGAAGAGTGAGGCAATTGATTGGAATTGATGGTCGCCTAAACTGATTGTATGGATAGAGAATATGATGTGTATATACCGTTCAGGGCCAGGACAGTCGGGCACAGTTACGCTTGACTTATACTTTATTTTCATGGGTAGGTCAGAGTCCGTGAGAACAGCATTCGGCCAAAGGTTCAAATAAATCGATTTATTTGTATTTAATGTATAAATCAATAAGTGTTGGGGTTTTTGGACAAATGGTGGTTATGGTTGGATGTAATCAATGGTCAAAACGTTGGGCCGGTATTGCAGTTTCAATAGCGAACAGTTATTATTGGGACAAATCAGTGTTAATGTCGAGACGGATGGCCGCCAAGAGTTATGGACACCAGAGATGATATGCAATGGGAAAGAGAAAAAAGAGGCAAAACTCGAGTTATCCTCGTTTTCGGTTACAAGCATTTCAGAGAGACTTATTCTAGACTTAAGGCCTACTCTTAACCCACAACTCATAATTGAGAGATATTTCTCTTTGGATACAATTCACTCTTTGGATAACCTATCACTCGAGGACTGGAAGTGACACTAAAGACATACACTTAGAATGACTTCAATTTATAGAACAATACAAAGACTTAAGAGTCGAATAGAGTGGTCGCCAATGACTACAGTATTGGAAACAAACGAAACAATAAAGTGGCAAATCTTACGTGTTTTCTTAAATGGTTTATATTAGCCCCTCCTTTGCCTATTATGGCACCGGCTTCCTATCAGTGCAACACAAACACAACAGAATACAGAATATTCATTAGTAATGCATTTCTGCATAATTATCATTACTTCAAACATACTTTACTCGACACCAGAAACCTAATGTCCAGCTCTTCACTGGCGCGCACTTTCTTTGCCGGCGGTTCAGAGCCATCCGTCACCTCTTCGATCAGTTCATCCAACTCTTCGTTGTTGTGGTGATTATTTGAGTCCAACTCGTCTTTGATCTCTAAGTCCAACTCATCTAATGTCCGTTTATGACTACCATTATCCATGTCATTCATTTCGGATAATATCTGTTAAAAGGCAGACAAATACATGACTTTTTTGAACCCAAATCCAACATATATTAGTGGATAGGATAGGGATAAGTCGATACAAATGCACACCAAATAGACTTTTGATTAAATGCATATCATTAGGGAAAGTGGTTTATCGGTTTGAGGCACCGGTATGTGCGAGTGTTATACTGGCACTGATAGCAAATGAATTGAACTCAAGTTTGAAACTCGGAATCAATACTTATTGAAATTTTGCGGCCAAGAAAAACGACTCAACAATAAATTAATATGTTTTACATTGCATTCAATACTGGATGTAGCGTTTGTGTCGCTTAGAAACAAAACCACAACAAATAGTAATCAAAAATAAAATATTGAAATATAGACTAAGCGGTGAAGAGTACGGAACTGTAGTCAACTACCACCTGATGAGGGGTTCTCTCCATTATTCAATATATTTGCATTTTTTCACGACAAATACAATGCATGTATTGAAAGCAAAGAAATGTATTTGCAGTACATTTCTATCAAATACTGTACTCTATAGTGAAAGACACCGTCTTTTGAAAGCAAAACAAATTTAATAAAATTCGAGACAATATCACATTTTCTGTGTTTTTCATTTTTCCTCATTTTATTATAAATGTCTACAAAAAAAATAATTTAAGAATAAGTTATTCATAACCTTATTAACAGATATATTGCAAAAAGTTTATAGAATTATAATAGAAAAAGGAAATTAATTTTTATTACTTGTTATACAATGATATGCAATACTGTACTAAATGTATGAAATGTGAAAATAGTGTTCAATTGATAGCAATACTGCGGAGTGTATTGAGTATGTCGTAAGTTATAGGCAAATATTAATGATGTATAGTATGAATAGAGGGATAAATGATAAAATGAATAATCATTTTCATGTTTGAGAGCGAGCCCTCATCAGGTGGTTGAGGTTTAGGCAACTTTTTATTGTTTAGATGTATTTGTTGTACTTTGTCTCTAAGCGACGGTAACGGCATATCCCAGCACTGGTAGCACTGGTAGAACTGGTAGAACACAGTGTTTGTGCTTCTCATTGGTGCCACAAATTGCTAGTGTATTGATCCAAATGTGTCACACTTTTGTCTTCTTCCGAGCCAACACTAATGTCTTTGCAATACTTTTTGCATATATTTAGCAATATTTTCTCATTTACTCTAAACTTCATTATTTCTATATATTCTATATTTATTATATAATATTCATACTCTAAGTCTCTAAACTCTATTATAGTTCATAGTATCTAACAATTCAATCGTTATTTTCTCCACTCTTTCCAAACACACAAACATTCAATCGATTTATAAAACACTCAAAATGTTTGCAAATATCACTATATTTTGCTTTTGCATATTTTTTCATAAATAAAAACTCATTTAAAATAATATAATTTCATACAAATCATCAAAACAATCATTTTATCTTTAAGTCAACTTTTCAATTAAAATAAAAGCTTTCTATAGATATACTCAACAATAAGTCCAGTATTTGTCAGCAAATATTGAATTCATTTTAGGCTAACTTTCTCGTCATTTTTCAAACAAAATAATTTTCTTAATTTAATCACAAAATATGTATTCAAATATTTTTTGTTGTTTTTAGATAAATATGTTTTCATAATTGTCGCCTTAACTGTAATACTGTACAACAAATCAATAAATTGTATCGTATATATAGACTCTATTATTATAACATTCATTTAAATAGCATTTTCTTAGCATTTAATTAGCATATTATCAATCTCATTTTGTGCATATTTTCAATGTGTAAGTCATATGAATGACACTGGTAATAAATATGATAAATTATAAACTGTCATAGCTCATATTATTACGATTTCATTAATTACTAGTTTACTGATAAATATTGAAAACTGATTGCAATTATGGTATTCTTGTACAGAACCGCACCATTTGTATGACAAATAGTGTCATAGATTGCAATGCAGTAGTACTTGTGAATAGTGGTAGACATAGACATGGAGTTTTGGGTGTAAAGGGATGGTCACTTTGACAGCTAAGGTGTAAGGGTGCCCTGGTACAATTGGTACAATTGGGCATTCATGTGGTCATTGCGTAACAGTTCAATGATTACCCGTCTCATATGCATTCATAACACTATTGATTGAAATCAAAAGAAATCAATTTGTGGTCAAATGAATGAATTAATGATTGACTCATAGGTTACTAAACTAAATAAAATGCTAATAAATGTGTAGATTTCACTAGAAGCAATTATTTGTTTAGAAAGCAAACTGCAAACACTATATCATAACTAATAATATGATTATAATTGATATGCATTCAGACATTAGTCAACAAAATCTCATTTGAATGCAATGTATAACCAATTCATTTGATTGTCATCTCAAGTGTCAAACAATTGTCTTGAGATCAACTGCAATATAGTGCGGTTGGACACCATCTGAATGGATGGATGAGTGCACTCGTGGACACACGTGTGACAAGTGGTCATCAAATGAATCACCGATTGTATGATTAAATGCATTTGAATAGTGTTTCAAAACTCATGTCAATAACGAAGAGATGTTTACTTTTGGTGACTAATTGAGTGATTGATTGTCAGACAAAGCCTTCAATACATACCTATGAGTGGATGTGCTGTGAGTGCCGTCGGGTCTCAGTTGACGTCAATGTGTTGTACAACGAGTTGATTGTGATTACAATGAAACCAATGAATGAATGACCGAATGGTTGGAAGCAATCAATGAAACTAATTATCAATACATTTGTGCTAACATTCAATACACTATTCACTGTATACTGTGTACAGCATTCACTCCATTCACTATGGGCTCAACTCCACACCACTTACACCTATACTCTACTACTGTATCGCAAACACTCCTCCCACCCCTCATGAACATATAGTACGTGCAAACATCACCACATCATTGCAGTATTCTAGCATTCATATCATATTTATTGTACCATGGTATTCATATTCTGTTAGGTTATGCTTACACTGTAAGCCTTACAGTATTCTGAACTTTGAGTTTTAATTAAAGGGGTATAGAATCTTAAAATTTGGAATATACCCTAATCATCTATATTAATTATAGAAACATTGAGCAAGTTACATTGCATATTATATAAATTTTACTGTATACACTATATGAAAAAGAATATTCTTAATACTCAAAACTCATATCATAGAATTTTGCATAAAAACATAATGTTAAAAATATCAATAAATGGCAATTTACTATTTACTCACTTTAATGATAACATGATTATTCATTCATATTTATATTGTACTATAGATATTATTATATTGCCATTAAACAGTTTACCTATTTCTGATTAATTTTCGGATTGGGTCGAGATATTTAAGGTTTTGGATTAGATTCGCAAAACTGCACAAGGTACAAAGTTTGTTTCGAAAGCTGTCTATATAAAAATAGAATGCAATTCAATACTTTTGAAATTAATTTATCGTGTACATTTCTCAAAAGTATATTTAGTTTTAAATATAACAATATCTATCGTTATACTTATGTGTGTGTGTGTGTGTGTGTGTGTGTG